TGAATTTAACATCCAAAGGAGCATTTGTAATTTCTTAATTTTCATTGCTCCTTTCTAAGTACCACATGCCCTAAAACAGTCATAATTATACTTGATGTTGACCCATAAAGACTGTACTCGAAATCCTAACCACTTCACCAAAACCAGATGCCTAAATTAAATTCAGCTAAGAAACATTCGTTAGAAATTATTCATGAAAAAAGTCCAAGCTAGTTTCATAACATTTATACATTATACAATAACCATGACTTTTAGAAAAATGTATGATGAACTGTTAAGACATTGTTGGTAGGAAGGAGAAGCAATAGGAAAAATTAATATAGCAGGGCTCTCCTGGCCAAGGCTTGTAATCCTATTCAGGAGGCTGAATAGAGCAATGGGAGGATTTTTTGTTTGTTTTTGTTGGTTTTTTTTTTTTTTTTGTCAGTCATGGGGCTTGAACTCAGGGACAGTTTCCTGAGTTTCTTTTGCCCAAGGCTAGCACTCTACCACTTGAGCCACAGGGCCACTTCGGCTTTTTCTGTTTGTGTGGTACTGAGGAATAGAACCCAGGGCTTCATGCATGCTAGTCAAGCACTCTACCACTAAGCCACATTCCCAGCCCAAAGTTGGGAGTTTCAAGCCAACCTAAGCTATCTATAAATAACCAGAAAAATTCTGGACTGGAGGCATGACTCAAGTGTTAAAAGTACCAGCTGTGAGGTAAAAAGCCAGATGAGAAAGCAAGGCCCTGAGTTCAAGCCCCAGGACCAGCAACAAAATGGAAAAATAAAACCAACTACAATTATTATTAGTTAAACATAGTTGCTGCAGGAACAGGGGCTGGGAATGGGAAAGAATGACTTTACTATTTGATCTTTAAAATCTCGTCTATGTATTACTTTGATATAATGTTTAGAATGTCCTTATTATTGATATTCTTTTACAGTAACACTTTGTCTTTACATACCAGTACATACTACCTTGGCAATAATGATGATGGTATGAAGCTGTCTGAAGCTGATTTTAAGTTTTTCTCACAGACAAAGTAAGATTCTAGGACCATGAAAGGTGCCCATCTCTTCTAAAACGAGACCTCTCGCAGGTGGCAGGGCTGGTTTTTCAAGCCTGGGGAAATCAGAACTGCAGAACTTCAGGTGCTAAGATACTGAATTTGGCAGCCCGCAGCAATGGTGAGTGATTGCTAATAGGATTCGAACTAAAGAGTTCCTCCCAGCCACGGCGCGGGCCCAGTAGGCCGGACCTCCCAGCAGCCCCGCCCCCGCCCCGCCCCCAGGCCCCGCCCCAGCCCCGACTCTCCACGCGGCGAACCCGCCCCGGACCTAGGCCCCGCCTCGCCGCCCCTCCTCTCCACCCGGGAACACGCCGTCTCGGCCGCTGGGGGTCTCTCGAGGCCCCTGGAGCGTGTGGCACCAAAAAGCAGGTCGCTGCGGTCACCAGGGCCTTCCTGGTGTTAGACGAGTCCCCGGAATCATCCTTGCGTCGCGTGCTTTCCCCCAAGTCACCTCGAATCTCCTCCACCCGACTTGACCGCCAACCGCTGCGGACGCCAGGCGCGCGCCAGGGCTCGAGAAGCTCGTGCGCGCCCGCGAGCATGCGCTTCTGAAGGGGACTCTCCACCGGCACGCTTCCTGCGCGACGTCCCAGTGCGCACGCGCACCAGGTGTTGCCAGCCGGAAGTCTACTTTCTAAGCGTCCTTTCCTGCTGGTACCCAAGATCTCCAGCCCTGATCTTTTGGAATGGTTTGAAGGGCTTCTTTCTAGTTGTTGTTTTAATATTTTTTAAAATTATCTTTTATTTTATTTTATTTGTGAAGATACTGTACAGAGGGGTTACAATTACATGGGTAGGATAATGCCCATGTAATTGTAAAATTATCTTTAACTGTACGAAGAAGTTGCCATTCACCAAAGTAGTTTATGAATACAATGGGTCTTGATCAACGTCACCTCTTTGAACATTCTCCCCCATCCTTTCCAACTCCATCCATTCCCTCAATTTTTTTAGGATATGTATTGAATTTTATGAGTGCATTCTCATCTTCTACCTTTCTCATTTGTCTACTCCCTCTTGATTTTACCTCCCCCTTTTAAGTACCCATTTCCTCGTGTTTGACAGTAAGTTAGCCTTACTAGGTAGGAATTATACCGTTTGAGTTCTTTCCTGAAACTACCATACTTTACTGTTAATAGATTGGTGTATACTTGCATGCCATCCCAAAGTGTTTACTTAGGTATTTAAAGATTAATTCTAGCTTCCACATGACAGAAAATGTGCATCCCTGGTCTCTCTGATCTTGACTTCACTTATTTTTTTTTCCAGATCCCTTCATTTCTTTGCAAGTGATACAGTACCATTCTTTCTAATGAGTAAAATTTCATTGCGTATATATACACGTTTATTTTTATTTTAATTTTTTTGTTGGTTGTGGGGCTTGAACTTTGGGCCCGGCCACTGTCCCTGAGCTCTTCAGCTCAAGGCAAGTGCACTACTGCTTGAGCCACAGCACCACTTCCGGTTTTCTAGTGGCTTATTAGAGATAAAGAAAGTCTCATGGACTTTTCTGCCTGGGCTGGCTTTGAACCGTGATCCTCAGATCTCAGCCTCTTGAGTAGTTTGGATTACAGGCGTGAGCCACCGGAGCAGAGCCCAGCTTACGTTAAAATTTTTAACTTATGGGCTGGGAACGTGGCTTAGTGGTAAAGTGCTTGCCTAGCATCCATAATGCCCTGGATTTGATTCTTCAGTACCACATAAACAGAAAAGGCCAGAAGTGGCATTGTGGCTCAAGTGGTAGAGCACTAGATTTAAGCACAGAGAGGCTCGGACAGTGCCCAGGCCCTGAGTTCAAGCTCCAAGACCAGCATAACAAAACAAACCAAAAAAAAAAACCATTTATTATCTTTAAGTGGTAGCACAAAGGAGTTGCCTGTTGAATAAAGCAGTTTATGAATACCCCTCCCAATGCAGCCCTTCCCTCACTTTTCTTAATTTTGTGGGATCTAGTTGTTTTTACTTGTTTTTCCTTTCTTTTTCTCACTTTTCCCTCTTTTGCACATACTAATATTTATTTCAATATATATTTCACTTATTGTTTTCCTTCACTGAAATGTAAGTTTTATGAAGGTAGGAATTTTGCTTGTTTTACTGCTTTACCATGGCGGCCAAGAACAATGCCTGGCCTATGGTAGGCACTCAGTGAATAAACCCAAAGTTTTCCATTTAGAATTAATGTTTTCCAGAGCTAGAAAACACTGAGTACTAGCTCAACTGTCTTAATTTACAAATGAGGACACCAGGACTCTCTTTATTGACTTTTTTTTGGTATCTTCCCAATGCCAGCACAGCCATTTCCTAACTAAAGAAGAGCAGAACTCTAAGAACATCATGAGAATGTTTTGGGAATTATTGTTCATCAATACTTGGTTTTTACTTTGTCTTAATTTCACTGAAACTTTGCTTTAAAAATGGAACTTATGACAAAACTTGAACCCTTGTAAGTATTTAATATATACTTGTTGAATCACTAATCAAAGCAGACTTCTGGGGCTGATGAGGCAAAATTTTCATTATTGCTTAGTTTGTTGGGGCTCCATGACAAAATTCCACAGACTGGGTGGCTTAAACAGCAGTTTGCTTTCAGTTCTGGAGACAAGAAGTCTGAGATGAAAATGTTGGCAGGGATTTTTCCTGAGGCCTCTCCTTGGCATGAACATGACCATCTTCATGTGGTCTTTTGTCTGTGTGCTCACATTATCTGTTGCTATATTTCTTTTTTGTATAAGGATACCAGTAGGATTGGATTAGGGCCCATACCAATGATGAGTTAATACAAAAGCAGCCAATCATTGTGGCCTATAGAGCTTAGAGATGGAAAGGTAAGCTTATAAACTAAGACAGGCCTGACAACTGAAATAAACTGGGGGAAAGAAGCCACAAAAGAATGAGGAAGGCCTGGGAATGTGGCTTAGTGGTAGAGTGCTTGCTTAGCATACATGAAGCCCTGGATTTGATTCCTCAGTGCCACATAAATGGAAAAGGCCTGAAGTGGCCCTGTGGTCAAGTTATAGAGTGATAGCCTTGAGCAAAAGAAGCTCAGAGACAGTGCCCAGGCCCTGAGTTCAAGCCCCAGTACTGTAAAAAATAAATAAATATAAAGAATGAGGAAATAAATAAGGATAGGGCTATAAATCTTTGACAACACAATCTTACATATAACAGAAAGGAGACTCATCAATCAGAAAGCCACTCAATCTTCACTATTTAACACAAAGTGAAGATCTGTAATGAGGAAGACAGTACAAAATGACAGAGACGGGTTGAACTGCCATCTTACCTGCACATGTGTTCTCATGATCTCTCACGTGGCATATGCCACATGTACACTCTCTCTGCCATATCTCTTTTCTAATAAACTTTTCTGTAATCCTTATGTTCATGTCTTGCCTCAATTTTCTCTTGCCAGACACAAGTACTGAAGTTGTTTAACTACTCTAAACTTTCTGGTAATGTATTTGGTGTGTTGGCCAGGAAGTTAAGGATTAACTTATGTCTGTTTTGGACTTGGACTCAAGGAATGGTTACACTAACAACCTCATTTTAACTTGATTATCTCTTTATGGGCACTATCTCCTAATAGTCACTTTCAGAGGTTTGAGGGCTCAGGAGTTTAGAATATAAAGTAAGGGGTGGGAACATACCCATTTCGCCCATAGCATCACTTCCTGTGAATTTCTTACTCAGAAAACAGGAATGTTGGTAGATGTTCTGGAATACTAAAAGTAATCACTCTAAAACATCATTTGAATAGCATATAGATTAAACTGGTATTTGCTCATTTTTAATCATGTAATTTTCTGAAGAAACCATTTAAAGAAAGATTCAAAGTTACTGCTTTAAATTGACCTCAAAATCTTCTTCCCACACATAAATAATTATTTCCTCTAAAAGAAACTTCATTGAAGATTTATAAATTTATAAAATAAATTGCTATAAAGCAAAAGAGTCTTGGGTGATTTTATTGAGAACGGTACAGTTGCAATCCTTCTATCATATGTATAACATATTAAACAGCAAAATATCTTACACTAAAATAACTTACTGAAAAATATTGAACACAGGATAGTTCTGTCCAGCCTTCTAAGTTTATCTTAGAAAATTAAAATGCAGGCCATTATTTCACAATTTGGAAATCCGAGTAATCCAACCTTAAGATGACTTTCTCATTGTTGAAGTTTGCACTGTCAATATGCGATTTGGGGCTCCCTCTTGTCTTAAGCCATTCCTGCATATGGCGCACCTTGGCGATGGGCCCTTGCAGTTGTCCTTGCACTGTGCCGCGGTCAGTGTTTTGTACCCAGCCTACCAATCCTAGCTTTTTACCTTCAGCCTAAGGGAAGAGAGAGGGAGAGAGAAGAGAGAAAGAGATCCAGTGAGATGAACAAAACAAAGCAAGACTATAATCTGTTGCCAGAATCTTGGCCACACAACAAGCTAAAACTAATTTGACATTGTCCAGAAAAATCAAAATAGAAAGACAGCAAGAGGATCTCACTGCTGATTTTAACACCAAGTGTTACCCACTCGATTCCATTTCCTTCTTCAATTCTATAAAACCTAGGCACTTGAAATTTTTAGAATTTTTCACTATGTGGTAAATGTGGTTAAGTCTTTAGACTTAAGTCCAAAACAGATACTTTCAAAATAATTCCTTAAGGCTGACTGTTCTTAGGATACAGGGCTGTACCTTGCCTTTTTCCTTTCTCTTAATCAAAGACCTACTGGGTATGTTTAAATGGAAAAATTGTGAAGTTATCTGATTCTTTGTCTTAAACCAGAACCACATGTAAACAAATCCAGATGAAATGGTGTCCATTATATCTTTAAAAATCATTAAAAGAGGGGCTGAGAAGATGGCTCAGTGGTAGAGCGTTTGCCTTGCATGCCTGAGGCCCTGGGTTTGATTCCTCAGCATCACATAAGCAAAAAGAAAAAAGCCGGAAGTGGCGCTGTGGCTCAAGTGGTAGAGCGCTAGCCTTGAGCTGAAGAGCTGAGGGACAGCGCCCAGGCCTAGAGTTCAGGCCCTATGACCGGACCCCAAAAAAAAAATCATTAAAAGAGTATTTCATAATTCCCTGGGCAACTCACCCACTGTTTCTAGTATAGAGAAACTGTCTAACCCAACATGTTTATGTTACATTAAAGACACTTTCTGTCATCCTCCTGGAGAAAGAATGCAGCTGTGAGCAGCCTCTGAATGCTGAGCATTCATAACCATCAAGTTTTCACAAGACATTCTTTTCTTCTGTTTAAATAATCACAATATCTTTTTTTTTGGGGGGGGGCGTCGGCCATGGGGCTTGAACTCTGGGCTTGGGTGCTGTTCCTCAGCTCTTCAGCTCAAGGCGAGTGCTCTACCACTTAAGCCACAGCACCACTTCTGGTTTTCTAGTGGTTTATTGGAGATAAGAGTCTCACAGACTTTCCTGCCTGGGCTGGCTTTGAACCGTGATCCTCAGATCTCTCAGTCTTCTGAGTAGCTAGGATTACAGGCGTGAGCCACTGGTGCCGGGCTCACAATATCTTTAAAACTGAATGAGTTTATAAAGACCAACTAATAGTAGTGGCTAGTGTTTTAGCCATTGGTTCTTCAGTGCTCTTTAAGTTGTTAAGCTTAGGCAAAATTAAACATTTAGCAAAGGTAATGCTAATTTAGAGAAAATTTTATTTATAAACATATAATTAGAATAGTATAAGTCATTAATTCGTAGAATAATCTATATTAAAGGGGGTTGGATTGCATAAGAAAATAGGAGTTAGCATGATTGCCTGTCCAAATGCTAGAATAGTGACCTAGTAAACACGGGAAAATGCTGGAGTTAGCCAAAGAAAAGGTTATGCACAAAGCCGGGCGCTGGTGGCTCACACCTGTAATCCTAGCTACTCAGGAGGCTGAGAGCTGAGGATCACGGTTCAAAGCCAGCCCGGGCAGGAAAGACCGTGAGACTCCTATCTCCAATAAACAGAAAACCGGAAGTGGCACTGTAGCTCAAGTGGTAGAGTGCTCGCCTTGAGCTGAAGAGCTGAGGGACAGCGCCCAGGCCCAGAGTTCAAGCCCCACAACCGATAAAAAAAAAAAAAAAGAAAAGGTTATGCACAGAAAAATGTTTGATGCAGTACTAAAGGATCCATCAAATCAGTTATGTTCGATGGAAAGACATGTTGGGATAGTGAACAAACGATAATTTACAACCAAATAAAGTTTAAGGGAGAGAGAAATTAGGGAATGAAGGAAACCAGGAGATACATATAGCATGCATTACTAACTGCCAGAGACAAAAACATAAAAGAAGAATGCTGAGAATGGGTTTTGAGGAAGACACCATATCCAACTGTGTGTAACAACTGCATTCTTCTGCTTCATATTAACAGAGGGGAGTTGGCTTTCTCTAGTTGTTATTTGCCATATATGGTAAATAACTATCAGCATGATTGTGTAGTTTTGAGAAAGAGAATCTAACAGCCAAATAACTTGCAATATGATTTATTTGAACTCTTGAGAATGAACAAAAAATTCCAAAATTGGACTGGTGTTGCGAATGAGAATTTCCAACAGGCTTCATTTGTGCCCTCAATTCTAATTTTTAAAATAATAACAAAATATTACTAATTTACGTTCAGGCTTGAATATCTAAATAAGTAAATGTTTTTTTATTGAAAAAAGCTAATTCTTCCTAATACCCATATGTATTTTTTTTAAAGTTGGTTGTGGAGCTTGAACTCTGGGCCTGGGCACTGTCCCTAAGCTCTTCAACTCAAGGCTAGTGCTCCACCATTTGAGCCACAGCGCCACTTCCGGTTTTCTGAGCACTTTACTGGAGATAAGAGTCTCCTGGACCTTCCTGCTTGGGCTGGCTTTGAACTGCTATTCTCAGATCTCAGCCTCCTGAGTAGCTAGGATTACAGGCGTGAGCCACCGGCACAGGGCCCATATGCATTCTTAACAGTCATCTGGCATTTTTTGTTCTGATAGTGTGTATATACGTATATATTTTTTGAGAGTGTTTTATTATGTTGACCAAACTGGCCTCGAACTCTCAATCCTCCTCTGCCTTCCAAGTGCTGAGGTGACAAGCATGTCTGGCCCTCTGCTTACATTTTCAGGAATATAATAATCACTAACAACTCTCATATTCAATCCAAAAACTAAGTCTCCTTAAATCAGTAACATACAAGAATAGCAAGGTGAGTGCTGGTGGCTTATACTTGTAATCCTAGCTACACAGGAAGCAGAGATCTGAGGATCCAGTTGAAAGCCAGCAGGAAAGTCCGTAAGACTCTTTTTTTTTTTAATAAGTTTTTTAAATTGTGTCACGAGACTCTTATCTCCAATTAACTATCAGAAAAAAAAAAGTGGCACTGTTACTCAAAGTGGTAGAGGACAAGCCTTGAGCAAAAAAGAGCTCAGGGTCAGTGCCCAGGCCCCAATTTCAAGCCCATCACCAATCAAAAAAAAAAAAAGAGCAAGCTAAGCTAAAACAAGCAAAAAGAAGGCAATAATATAAAGCAGAGCAGAGCAGAAGAAAGAATTTTTTGGGGGGCGGGAGGGGGCAGTCCTGGGGCTTAAAGTCAGGGCCTAGGCACTGTCTCAGTGCTTTTCGCTCAAGACTAGCACTCTACCACTGGAGCCACAGCGCCACATCTGGCTTTTTCTGTTTATGCAGTACTGAGGAATCAAACCCAGGGCTTCATGTGTGCTAGGCATTCCCAGCACCAGAAGAATTTTTTTTTTGTCGGTCGTGGGGCTTGAACTCTGGGCCTGGGCGCTGTCCCTCAGCTCTTCAGCTCAAGGCTAGCGCTCTACCACTTGAGCTACAGCGCCACTTCCAAGAATTTTTTTTAAAAGGAGAAAAAAAATCAATGAAACTAAAAGATAGGACTTTGAAATCATCAGCAAAATTGATAACTTTTAGCTAAACTGATATAGAAAAAAGATGACTAGAATAATAAATAAGAAATGAAAGACTATTACCATTATCCTTACAAAAGTAGATATTATGAAAGAATACAATGAACAATTATATACCAAAAAATTAGATAACTTACATGAAGACAGATTGCCACAAAGACAAACTAAATAAAACAGAACAGATACCCTAAGAGTCTGAATTACAAGTCAAAAAACTTCCCAGAACTGGATGCTACTGGTTCTATGCCTCTATTCCTACTTGTTAGCATGTGATTGGGAAGATCAAGACCAAGACAGAAAGGTCTTCAAGACTCCATCTCAACAGAAATAAACTGGGCATGGTGGCATGTGCTTGTTATTCTAGACTACAAGGGGAGGCCTAAAATGGATGAGTAACTGTTCAGGCACATACCTGAATACCAGATGCAGCAGGAAAAGTCCATGAAACCTTTTTTGCTGTTGGTCATGAGGCTTGAACTGAGGGCCTGGCACTGTCTTTGAACTCCTTCACTCATGGATCATGCTCTACCACTTTGAGCTACAACTCCACTATCGGTTTTTGAGTGGTTAATTGGAGATAAAAGACTTTTCTGCCTGGGCTGGCTTTGAACCAGGATCCTCAGATCTCAGCCTCCTGAGTAGCTAGGATTACAGACATGAGCCATCAGCATCCATGAGACTTATCTCTAATTTACCACCAAAAATGCCAGAAGGAGAGCTGTGGGTTAAACAGTAGAGCAGTCACCTTGAGCAAAAAAGGTCACAGACAGTGCACATATCCTGAGTTCAAGCCCCAGGCCCAGCACAAAATAATAATGTGCAAAAAAGTCTGAAAGGGTAGCTAGCAGTAAACTATTTGTCTAGCAAGTCAGATGCCCTATATTTAATCCCCAGTACCTGGGGAAAAAAAAAAAAAAACTTCATAAAAAGCCTCAGACCAAATAGCTTCACAGGTGAATTCTACAAAAGTTTAAAGAAAAATTCTTGCCAGGCATCAGAGGCTTATGTTTATAATCCAAACTACTTAGGAGGCTGAGATCTGAAAATATAGGCTTGAAGCCCGCTGAAACACACACATCCAGGAGACTCTAATCTCCAATTAACTAGTTAAAAAGCCAGAAATGGAGGAATGGCTCAAGTGGTAGGTAAAGAGTCAGCTTTGAGCAAAAAAGAACAAGAGTCCCTGAATTCAAGCCCCAGAACCAATATACGCACACACTCATGCACACACAGACATGTACACATACACAGATAATTCAATTTAGATCAAAATCCTAAACTTAAGAGCTTACACAATGAAAGTCTTAGAAGACAATATTAAATAAAACTTCATGACCTTGGGCAAAGCACAGGTTTCTTAGATATAAAACCAAAAGAGGTCTGGGAGTGTGGCTCAGTGGTAAAACTGAAAGGACAAGAAAAAAGAAGAACTAAGTTAGACTTCGTCAAGGATATGATCAATGAAAATAAAAACAAATTCACAGAATGAGAAAAATGTATGCAAATCATATAAAAAGAGACTACTCTCTACAGTATAAAAAGTCTTATAACTCAATGAGAAATAAAAATAGAAGAAAGGCTTACAGTAAAGATTATTAGACCTTTACCAGAAAACCACAGACATCCAAGTACAGAGAACAAAGAAAGGTATATTGCCGGGAAAGGGGCCGGCAAGACTCTTCACAAGAGACAAGTGAGAAGCACGGGCTTTTGTCTGAGGTGACCTATATAATTTAGGAAGCTTAGGAGGAGCTAGCAGGGGCTAGGAGGTGGAGACCCCGGTGTGGACATGTGGGCCAAGGGCTTCATCATGGTGGACCAGGATTTATTACTGCTATCCAAATAGTAGATAAGGGTCCTGCAGCAGCCCAGAGCTGAAGGTCACTCTAAGGGGCTCTTGTTGCCTTATATGGTGGTAGCTGCCCCAGAGAAGTGCCATCCCAAGGTAGAGGGGGGTTGGCGGCTGATTATTTACTGCCTCTACTAAGTGGGCCTAGTGCTGCCTAGGAAGGAGCATGCTAAGCTGTGGAGAAGGGAAGGAGCGTGCTGAGCTGGGAAGGGAGCTCATTTCACTAACATACAGTATCTTCTTTTACCTGTAAAAAGATGTTGAAGGGGCTGGGAATGTGGCTTAGCGGTAGACTGCTTGCCTAGCATGCATGGAGCCCTGGGTTCAATTCCTCCGTACCACATAAACAGAACAAGCTGTGGCTTGAGTGATAGTCTTGAGCAAAAGGAGCTCAGGGACAGTGCCCAGGCCCTGAGTTCAAGACCCAGGACTGGCAAAAAAAAAAGACATTGGAAAGATAGATATTTAACACCATTAATCACTAGGAGAAGGCAAATCAAAACTACCCTGAGAGTGTACAAGTATAACATATTACACATTATTATAAAAAGTAGGAAATTCTGACTCATGATTCAATGTGGATATACCCTTGAGGACATTATGCTAAGTGAAGTAAGCCACTCCCCAAGGTGTTAACAATGCAGTCTGATTCCATTTGTGAGTGGCCTAAAGTGGCCAAATTTATAAAGATGGAAGTCAGGATCATGATTGCCAGGGGCTGGGTAGAGGAGAAAATGAGGAGTTAGCTGTGGGTAGAATTTCAGTTTTGTGGATGGATGGTGGGGATGGTAGCACAATGGGTTGCTGAACTGAATATTAAAAATGGTTAAAATAGTGAATTTTATATTATGTGTATTCTAATACAGGTTGAAAAGAGTATCTGTTACACAGTTTCCAGTTTTGTTACTGGTTTGCACTGTAGTTCCCCTATAGTTGGAGACCATTTCTTGTATCACTTAAAATATTTTAAAATTTATTGGTACCTGAAAATAAAGCAAACAACAAAAATCCTCTGAGATGCTCACACCCATTATGATGGTCATTATAAATAAGACCATGAGAGCTATTGGCAAGGACCAAAAAAAAAAATCGAAATTCTCATACACTGCTGGTGGGTAAAATGGGAAATTTTGGTAGCTTCTCAATAAGTTAAACATACAATTATATAACCCAGCAAAGTACTCCTAGGTGTAGATGCCTAAAGGAACAGAAAATGTCTGTACAAAAACATGCAAATAATGTTCACAGTATCATAATTGACAAAAAAAAGATTACAAACAGTAAAGAATAAGCTACAAGTTTAAGAAAAAATGATGAAATATTCCTTGTAGCTTTCTATATTCTCTGTTATTGGTAGTGGTAGTCATGGGGTTTAAAATCAGCATCTGGGCACTGTCCCTGAGCTTTACTGCTCAAGGCTAGTACTCTACCACAGCTCCACTTCTGGTTTTCCAGTTGTTAATAGGAGCTAAGAGTCTCAAGGACTTTCCTCAGTTGGCTTTGAACTGTGATCCTCAGATCTCAGCCTCCTGAGTAGCCATGCTTATAGGCATGAGTCACTAGCACCTGGCTCTACATTCTTTTTACTCTTTCTCTAAACTGGAGGCAGAGGAAGGAATATAAGGCAAGAAAGATGGGCTATATCATCTGGTCCTGTCCCTTAGCAACTTAATCACTCTCTCTCTTTCTCTCTCTCTCTCTTTTCCCATTTTACTGTGTCTTCTGTCTGTCTGTCTCTCTTGCTCATTTTATTGAGACCTGAAATCAGCTCTCAATCAGCTTTTTAAATCATAGCTGGTGCTCTACCACTTGAACCACAGCTCCAGTCTGACACTTTGTTGATAAATTGGAGACAGGCTCTTAAGACCTTTTTGCCTGGACTGGTTTCAAATCTCTATCCTCAGATCTCAGTCTGTTGAGTTGCTACAATTAGCCATGAGGCAATGGCTATTCTTTGAAGCTGTCACTTCCATCTACTAAATCACAGGTACTTGTTCCATATTACTGGTAAGCACAGCTAATTGGAACAAAGCTTTTGCTATGACTTCCAGCAATTCTTTCTTCAAGAGGCACTTTGAGTATGAAGCATTAAGAAATTATTTTACAAATAATTAGAGTATGAGGCATTGTCAACTTACATTTCTATTTCCAAGAACCATGTCTGAACTTTTATTTCTTGTTCTTTTTTCTTTTTTTTTTTTGCCAGTCCTGGGGCTTGAACTCTGGGTTTGGGCACTGTCCCTGAGCTTCTTTTGCTCAAGGCTAGTGCTCTACCACTAGAGCCACAGCACTACTTCCAGCTTTTTCTGTGTATGTGGTACTGAGGAATGGAACCTAGGGCTTCATGCATACTAGACAAGCACTCTACCACTGAGCCACCTTCCCAGCCCCCATGTCTGAACTTTTTTTTTTTTTGGGGGGTCCGGTCGTGGGGCCTGAGTGCTGTCCCTCAGCTCTTCAGCTCAAGGCTAGCGCTCTACCACTTGAGCCACAGCGCCACTTCTGCCAGTGGCTCATGCCTGTAATCCTAGCTACTCAGAAACTGAGATCTGAGGATCACAGTTCAAAGCCAGCCCAGGCAGGAAACTCTGTGAGTTGCCTGTCCCCAATAAACCACCAGAAAACCAGAAGTGGCTCTGTGGCTCAAGTGGTACAGTGCTCACCTTGAGCTGAAGAGCTCAGGGATAGAGCTCAGGCCCAGAGTTCAATCCCCACAACCAACAACAAGTTCCACAGCCCTAAGTCATTTTCTATAAGGAGGTAGTACATACATTGAGCGAGCCATAGCCTGATATCCCTGTATAAAATGCAGAAGGGAACTTGAGACAGCCCTTGTGTGTGAATGTTAAGGGAAGATTAGTGCCACTAAAGTAGATGAAGAGTTGCCAACAGTTTATCTCTTCAAATACTCTCTATTACTCTAGCAGGAATCCATGCTACTATTACTATTATGGAATGAATAGTTATTTTTAACTTCAGAAATTTCAGCTAGAAAAAGTGAATAATTCTTCAAAGTCAAAAAAAGAACAGAAAGCTGGGCACTGGTGGCTCATGTCTGTAACCCTAGCTACTCAAGAGGCTGAGATCTGAGGACCACAGTTCAAAGCCAGCCCAGGCAGGAAAGTAGCATTATGGCTCAAGTGGTAGAGTGCTGGCCGTGAACTGAAGAGATTATGGATAATGCCTAGGCCCAGAGTGCAAGCTCCACAACTGACCAAAAAAAAAAAAAAAAGGAACAAAAAGTTACTGAGTGTTGGTGGTTCCGTGCCTATAATCCTAGCTATTTGAAAGGTTAAGAGATGAGGATCCTGGTTCGAAACCAGCCTGGGCAGGAGAGTCCATGAGATTCTCCAGTTAACCACCGAAAATCAGGAAGTGGGGGTAGCAGCTCAAGGAGAGCACCCAGACCCTGAGTTCAAGCCCCAGGATTGGTGTGCGTGCGCGCGCACACACACAGAGACAGACAGACACACATACATACTAGGAAGGGAAACAATTACATAATTTACATGAGCAAGAATCAATTCGTCTAAGTGCCATCTCTGTGTGAACGGTGGTTTCTTATCAGATATGTGAGTTTGATGAAACCACAACAGGACTTTCCCTTTTGGAAGAGGAAAAACAAAACATCAATACGTGTCAACAGATGCTCAGTGACCATTTTAGCTAACAGCCCGAGAATCTGCCATTTACATCGTTTTACCCGTCTCAGAACATTGTCATCTCCATTGCTATACCATGCATTTCTCCACATAGCTACCAAAGAGCCAGCCTTTCCCGGTTCACGTTTGCCAAAACAAATCTCTTTTTGTTTGCACGCTCGTAGCTGGCTGTAGGTCACATACCTGCGTGTACTTGCGGAAAAACACCCCTTGCACCTTCCCAAAAATTTCGTAATCCACTGATACCAAGGTGTCCCCTTCTGCCATGCTCGGACCTGTCAGAGACCAGGAAAACAGAAAAGTAAAGGCCCACTCTGGACTTGCTAATCCTGGGGCAGAAGGGGCCCCACTCGCACTTCTTCCACCCATCCCACTGTGACCTAAGGTCCTCGCTCGGAAGGGGCCGCCAGCGTGGGAAGCTTCGGGAGGACACCGGGGAGGAGCGCTGAGGCCTTGCAGGCCAATGACCTGGGTATCCCGTTACTTCACGGGGCCACGCTAGCCCCGTCCCTCCCCTCCACGCCTCTTCCCACGCGGCCCAGGATGCCCATTTACTAACAGTAACTCTCTGTGGGGAGCTCGCCCCTGGACCTCCCTCCCAGCCTCACCCTCTTCTTCTTGCCCAAGCAACACGGACGACCACCAGACCAACCGACCCCAAACCGCGCAAACCGCCGCTTCCGGAAGTTGAGTCTTGCTTCTCCTTCGCTGTCTTTCATGCCTATCACCTTCTTCTGACCAATCAGAGGCAGAGCCTCGGCCCTAAGCCCGCCTAGAGGGCGGGACTTCAGCACCAGCAAGCTACCTAGCAAAGTGTTGGATTGAGGATCTATCCAGAACATGGCTTGGATGCCACAAACCAAGATCGAGCTATACCTCAGTCACGAAGCCCACATCCCTCTTTTCATTTTCTCGTGGCGAGAAAAGTATAGACGAAGTCCTTGGGACACATTCACTCATTCGATAAAAAGGCACTGGTGGCCTACTGGGTGCTGCCAAGGCACAGTACTGGGTAATGGGAAGAGTCTCCCTATGGAGGAACTTAAATTCTGGAAGTGTGGAATACTGATAATAAACACAAAACGCCACAAATAAACTGAAAAAAGACATACACACACCCTTTCTTGTCCTGATTTTTTTTTTCCTCTCATTTCCCTTCCATTTTATTCTATGTCTACTCTGAAGTCAGTAGTAGAGGAGCTAATATATAATACATGCAGATGGGGTTATTTATCCTGGATTTTTGAAAGCTGCCACCGAATCTACTGTACTGAGAAGACGTCTGAGTAACTAATGAATGTATAAAAAACAAAAGCTAAACAAAGCAAAAGCAAATAACTCAGGCTTCTAGAATCTCAACTGAATCAATATCAATCAAACCAGTTATTTTTGGAAAAGGTAATTGTCAAAGTGGGTTGTAGGGTAAGGATTGTTGTCTGGTAGACTTTTGAATTCAGCTACCCTTATGATTAGGAATGTGTATAAAGAAGAGCTTGTATTTATTATTCCTCTTTAGATTGCGTGTGCATATTCTATCTCTTTATAACTTAAGTCTCCATCCGAGTAACTAAGTTGGCAGCTTCTGCAAGTAAAATGGGCTTGCCATGCCAGCCAATGAAAAGGAATAATTCCAATACAGAGTATGGATCCAGATCCTCGAGCAAAAGAGCTCAAGAACAGCACCCAGACCCTCAGTTCCAAGCACCACCAACAACAAAAAGAAAAGAACACTAAGGTGTATTTGCTGATGCAATTTTTACCTAAATTTATTTATTATTTATTTTTGTTTTAGTCCTGGGACTTGAACTCAAGGCATTACCTCTTGGCATTTTTGCTCACAAATAGCATTCTGCCATAGCTTCACTTCCCACTTTTTGGTAATTGATTGGAGATAAGTCTCACAGACTTCTCTGCTTGGGCTGACTTTCAACCAAGATCCTCAAGGTCTCAGCCTCTTGACTAGCTAAGATTACTGGCATGAGCCACCAGTACCTGGTCCCCCCACCCCTATTTTTTTTTAGGTTTTCTTTAGAATCCAGAATCTATTGAGAATCTAAAATGTATGGAACACCATAAAATGTACAAAGATGAATGGTAACACTTGCCTTCAGAGAGTTTTTACTTTTTTGGGGGGGAGGGGGAGTCCGGTCGTGGGGCCTGAACTCTGGGCCTGGGCGCTGTCCTTCAGCTCTTCAGCTCAAGACTAACACTCTACCACTTGAGCCACAGCGCCACTTCTGGCTTTTTTCTTTTTGCTTATGTGGTGCTGAGGAATTGAACCCAGGGCCTCAGAGGCATGCAAGGCAAGCGCTCTACCACTGAGCCATCTTCCCAGCCCCAGTTTTTACTTTTTTTTAGTGGAAAGGATATATTCAAATGCATGCACATGATGACAATAAAATATACAACATGGTAATTCAATTTCATGAACATTCATTGAGAGCTCATCTTGAATCAGCCCTTATAACAGGAACAAAAATATTATGAAGGAGCAAAGAAATGAATTCTGTCTGGGAAAACTGGCTCTTGTATAAAACAGCATTATTCCAAGGTTAAGTGATGGAGCTGTAATGTGCTCTATCCAGTAAGTGATGAAGCTGTGGTGTGTTCTACCACTTCCCAGACATGGAAAGAGTACCACTAAGGCAAGAAAGGACAACTGGTCAGTTATGTCTATACCAAGGGTTCTCAACCCTTGAGAAGCTTCTAAAAATATGACTGCCTAGACCTTACTCTCAACATAGAGCTTTCCAAGTTGTTTTAATACACAACCAGAATCGGCCCTACTGAACTAGAATCTAGGGACTAGGAAGGGGAGGCAGGGCTGGAAAGATACGGTGGATCTCATCTGGGAGTTAGAAATGCCATGCTAAATTAGGCATTTCAACTTTATTATTGTTGTTGTTATTTTCCAGTACTGGGTTTGAACTCAGGAGCTTCATGCTTGTCTGGTTGGTGCTCTACTACTTGAACCACTGCGTTTTGCTGGTTAATTGGAGGTGGAGGAGACTCCGGAAGTGACATGTCCAAGAACAAACTAGAAACTAGAGGGAAGTCAGAGAGAAAGGAGCCCTCTGGGAAATTCTGCCCGAGTGGAGAGAAGCTGTGGGAGTTGACAGAGGCTGGAGAAGCTGAGCTAACTGGAGGCCCCTGGAGAGTGAAAATGTCTGGGGCTGGTTTGTGGAGAAGGCAGAATAGTTCACTTAGGAATGAAAACAAGGACTGGAAAAAACCTGAGGACCCAGCGAGGAGGATTTTCTCTGTAACACTTAAAAACTGCAGTCTGTGTTGCAGTATTAACACGACCGATCGCGCTGTTTTCCACGTGCAGAATTCTTTTGAGTAGTTACAGGAAAAGTGAGCCGCCCGTTCCAAACAGCTTACCCAAATGAACCGAAGCATGAAGACCAACAAACTCTCTCCTGAGGTCAATCAAGTCCTAGAGTATCGGTTAGTGCCGAAATCAAGTTATGCTGATTACTGTCGATGGCAGTTAGCTTTATTATCATGGCATTTGGCTGAGTCACGCCTGGGCCCTAAGTACCGAAAGCCATATTTACCACGTGAGAGCAAACCATTACAATAACAGAATAATTAGGGAGGCTCCAAAAACCACCCCAGAAAGATAATGCGTGGGGGAAAAAAAAAGATCAGCGCTCAAGCTCCCAAGCAGTTAGCGGGGGGCAGCACCGAGGGCTGCAGCCGTACCTGGGGCCCGCGGGGAGCGGCCGAGCGCGCCCAGCACGGCGATCAGCAGGCCCGCGCCCGCCAGCCGGGCGGACACCGGAATCCTGCGGCGGGGTGGCTCCGCGGCGCATCCCGGGGCTCCACCCTCCGCCCGGCGAGGGCACACCCCGAGGGCTGGGAGCATTGTTCTCAGACAAACACAAGTGCTTCTGTGATGGAGCCTCACGCCCCTCCCCCGTCTCCCGAGGGCAGGGCAGAGCTGAGTTGCCGAGTTGGCGGGACACAGCGTCCAGTGACACTGAACCCGACCGCACCCCCCCTTCACCTCCTACCTCCCCCCCCCACGCGCCCCCCCTGCCGAGATCGCGTGTGAACTGCGCCTGCGCGCGCCTTCCCAGCCGGGTTCCCTGCCGGAGGCGGGGCTCGGCGCGCACGCGCTCCCGTCTCCCGGACAACAGCAACAACAGAGGCGGGCTCAAGAGCGCCTGCGCGGCTGTCGGTTGGCAAGGTCAGGTCTGGAAAATTAGATGCTTGGGCTTTGCCGGAGCTGGAGCTGTACCCAAGAGCCTCAGGTAGGCGGAAGGGCGGGGAGACCTGGAGTGAATGCCTTGGCCTCCCGAGGGCTTGTCCCCAAAGCGGAGTCCCCAGCGAGGGGGTCCTACTTGATCCTTCAGGACCCAACATGACTTCAGAGTTCCAGATCTAAAGCAGGCCGCGGCCAGGTCAGGTGGCCTCCAGCCCTGGGGTGACCCATGGGCGCCACCCTTTACCGTGCAGGTTTGACCTCTCCAGAATCCGCCCCGCAGGCCCCTGGCGGTCCCCGTGCCCTTTTGATTCCCAGCAGAAGGAAGAACTAACTCGAAAGCTCTATGCCAGTTAGTATCTGTGAGCCACTGTTCTCTCATCTGTAAAATGGTGTGGCTGGTCGCTTACTAACTTCTCAGTTAATAAGTGAAGAAACATGCCAGCAAGGGGAATTTGCTTCTTAATGTTACAGGTCTAAAACATTTAATCGACTACATGATTGTTTGTGACTGGTACTGTTGCAAAGGACGATCGACTGACAGGAACACCTGTTGTCAAATCTTGTTTTAGACCCTGAGGGCCTAAAAATCACAACTTATTGTTCTGGCAGATCCAGCATTACTGTCCCTAGAATAGTTTCATGCATAAGGCAAATATAGAAACAGTTTACTGTAGCAAACAGGAGGGAACCTCAAACAAATCTTTCACATGTATCTGGTTTAACTCTCCCCTAGGCTTCAGTCCAGACCCTGAATGGCTGGTCTCCAGTTGGCTCCACATCTGCCTGTGGGCGTTATGTTCCCACATAATAAAACAGAAGCTCCGGGGCTCCACTCAGCCAAGCAAGACCTTTATGAACAAGGTGACTCTTCCCAGCGGTCCCCGATGGAGCACTTGAGAAACAACTGCCAGCAGAAGTCTTTGAGCAACAAAGAGCTGGCACTGGATAACGTCTACACTCACCCTAAATGGAACACCTGCACAAAAACCAGGACTTATTCCTATCTCCACTGTGCTGGAATCAGCCAGCGAGACTCGGGAAGTGATTTCCAGAGCCAAGGAAAGAGTTTGTTTTATTCATCAAGCCCTCAATCCCGGTATCCCAAAGCAAATGATCAGGACTTCATTCCCTTTACAAAAAAGCGAGTTGGGGTAGACCGGGCCTACCCACTGAAACCCATGGTCCACCGGAAGTCTCATAACACAGGTGAGGCTGGTCCTGATGGGGACCAGATCGTTTACCCAGGATTTTCAGAGCCAAGAGAGTTCTCAGACAGCAACTCTGGTCTGAGGAACTGGGTGAATTTATCAGTTCTTGCAGCCTTGCAGGAGGAGAAGGCCATGACAAACCTCCATAGAACTGACTGGATACAGATCCAACGTCTTGAAGCTGCTGGGGAAAGCTTAGAGGAAGAAATCCGAAGAAAGGAAAATCTCCTGAGGGAAAAGCTGAAGAAGACAGAGCAGGGACTCAGAAGGATCCAGAAGGAAAAGGAACAGGCCAAGGAAAATGAAGACCAAGAACTACAGAGAATGGTACTCTCCAGGAGAAGAATTAAAGGCAGTAGCAGCAGCAGCACATACAAACCTGTCTTTTCCCCAGAAGTCAGGTCTGAAGAGGTATTGATCAGAGACAGAGAAGAGGAGGAAATATGGGGATGCCCTCAGGAGAATTCTACTCCATTCCAGTTGTCTGGTTATGGAATCCAGAGGCTCAGAAGGGAAAAACTTGTGAACAGTAATAACAAAATCCGAGCCCGAGCCTCAAGACCATCTTCAGAGAACTTCTCTCAGCCTCTGGAAGAGACCAGCAGCCCTTTTCAAGAATCTACCAGAAGTTCTAGCCTATCCAGGACCCCAGGCTCCTCAGGCTCTAGCAGCTCGACTGAGAAGCCAGAGATGGGCAAGTGTAGCCACTGTGGTCGCACATTTCTCTTGCTCAGGCTGGAGAGACATTCCACTGTCTGTGGCAGGATGCAGGGGTCCAAGAGGAAAGTGTTTGACTCCTCCAGGGCTCGGGCTAAGGGCACAGAACTAGAGCAATACTTGAACTGGAAGGGGCCAGATGCAGTCAAGGTAATAAGGGCCTCCTAGAGTTGCCTTTGTGTGGGGATCCTTGTAAGGGCCTGTTATGTCCTTACCAGTTTTCTTTAGGGAAACATCGTGTCACGTAGGATAAAGGAAAGAACGAACAGTTCTTGTGTGCCAACCACAGGGACCCTCACAACTGTGAAGATCTCATTAGCTCTCATTTTCTCAAAAAAAAAACCACTACATATATGCACACTTAGACATACACACACACACACACACACACACACACACACACACACACACGACTAGAGCATGTTAAATAACTCCCCTTGAAGTCCTAGCTTTAAATGGCAAGTTCATACTGGGATGACTGTAAGATCTAGACTGACAAATATATGTTCTTTTGAGTATAAAGTTAATATGTTTACCACATCAAAAATTTGTAGCATGAAAAATTTAAAAACCCTACAATTTTATGTTGAGATAAACATACATTTTTCCCCCTTGGAACATATACCCTGCTCTCTCCCAAGACTAGAGCTGTTACCATGTGTGCCTTTAGCTGCATTCAAGAGTAGTTCGATTTTGCTATGCCTTCCTAGAGAATATGAGAAGCAGAGCTAAATTTGGAATTACCCTTCTCTCTGCTTAGAGTGTGCACATCTCGAGGGTAAGAGATCTTCTTTTGGACTACCTTTCAGAACTTTCCTCACTTTACAACCAGGTTGTAAAAAGTAAAGACTACAAGACTCTTAGGTAGTAAGTTCATGAGAATCATGTATGTTTGGACATCTCTGGAGGAGACTGACCCTTAAACAATGTCATTTGGTTTGTAAAATGAGTGTTTCTCAAAATGGAGTGCATTGACAAATAATAATGTTTTTAATGTTTTTAGTGAGCTTATTAAGCCTGTAATGTCTAAGGATCTTGAATTTAAAAGAAAATATTGATAGTAAAGAGAATAAATTGAACAAGGTTAAGGAAAGCTGAGGACATATGATCTCAAGGGCCTCATCTGACTCTGATATTCTTAGAGAGAGAGAAAGATCTGATTTATTTCCAAACTCCTCTGCTATGCTGGAACCTCTCATCCATCTGGTTTGTGTGCATTTGCTGGCCCTTTAAAAACTCAGCATGATGTGATGGCCTCTAGCAGATGCCCATTACACTGCAGGTTTTTTCTTTTGATATAATCTAGGGGATTCACCACAAAGAAAGTTCCTCCAATGCTCAGAGTCATCTCCCTAAAATCTAGCTTCCAAGACATCCACAATTAGTTCTGGCAGATGAAATGACAGTATGGCTAGTTACTAATCTTTTGTGTTTTCTTTTTGGTCAACCCAATAATCCACTGGGGATTCCCTCTCCATAAATCTACCATAGTGGTTTACTTTTGGCCAGAACCTAAATGAATACTGTGTTTCTTAAATTCTTGAGTATATTAAACATGAAGAACCCCCCCCCCCCCCCCGCACACACACAAATAAAGCCCACCGGGTTTCTGAGATCAGACAATCCAGCTTTGTAGAAACTAGTTTGAGAACAAGTGTTTAACTGAGGACATTAAGGCAGAAAGGACCTGGATGGGCGTACATACCCTCCTGGAAATGCCTCAAGTCTTATTTAGAGCCCTGTGCCTTCAGCAGCTGAGCAGCTGTGTCTCCCTGACACTCCTCTAGTCTACTCAAATCAACAAACAGTTTCCACAAACATTCTTTTGTTTTTGTTATTGTGGTTGGTATTGGGGCTTGAACTCAGGGCCTCACACTCTTGACTTGTTTTTTACAGCTCACAGCTGCCACTCCACCACCCCTGGCTTTTTGCAGGGTATTTGGAAATAAAATTCTCACAGATTTAGCTGCCTAGGCTGGTTCCAAACTGTGATTCTCAGATCTTAGCCTCCTTAGTAACTAGGATTATAGGCTTGAGGCTCTGCTGGTGCCTGGCTTCTTGACATCCTTTAATCTTTACATAACTTCCAGAAGACTTGTTTCTTTTGTCCACTAGGTGGTAAGCATTTGAAGTCAGGAAACATACACTTCTTAAAACCATATACTTTTTTTTTTAAGCCACAGAAACATTTCCAGTTTTCTGGAGAAAATTGGAGATAGTCTTTCTTGCCCAAGCTGGCCTTGAATTGTGATTCTCAGATGTCAGCCTCCTAAGTGGCTAGGATTAGAAGCTTGAACCACTGGTGCCCAGCTTAAGAACCAAACACTTCTTTATGCTTTGTATTGAGTAAAGTTGCAGTATGAGAAAGAGTTAAAATATAGGTATATACTTGAGGAGCCCGCTTCTAGTTGATTTCTCTGAAAGTGTCCTGAATACTTTTACTAACACTGACTCTACCCTTCTCTGTGTCAATAAGAGACTCTCTTAATGAAACCTCTTTTTTTCCTTGAATATATTTCTTGTTGATTCATATATTAATGTTTTTGTTAGTGCTCAAACACCTCTCATACTAGGGTTTTTTTTTCTTTTTATTCTAGAAATTTCTCTTCCTTCTCTCTGCCTCCCCCTGCTTCATCTAGACTGGTTATTCTCAAGTCCTGATGTGGACCTACTGACTTGGGACTTCTTTTTGCTTCTCTTCTGTTTGGGGCCCATTTCCATCATCTGGGTCTTTATTTTTCTTGCTTCACTTCTTGATTGCTGACAGTTACAAGAATTTTGTTCAAGAAGTATTTTTTTTTGTCTTGAATGAAAATATTTATAAAAGTAGCCTGCTATCAATGATTTGGCTGGGTATAGAATCCTCAGTGGAAAATTATTTTATTAGAATTTTTTAATTTTTTTTATTTTTGGGTCCGGTCGTGGGGCCTGAACTCTGGGCCTGGGCGCTGTCCCTCAGCTCTTCAGCTCAAGGCTAGTGCTC